CAAATTTATAGGCATTAAATCACACAAATTTATTCTTTTCTAGTTCTTGAGGTCAAAAGTCCAAACAGGTTTTACTGAGCTAAAATCAAAGTGTAAGCAGGGCTGATCCCTTCTTTTTTTGACACTGAGATATAATAAATGACACTGTAAATCTAAGGTATCTAACATGATGATTTAATATATGTACTTGAATTTTATTAAGTAAATGTTTTACACACACACACACACACCCATCACCTCACACACCTTTATACCAGCCCCTGGTAAGCACCATTCTACCATTCTACTTGGTTTCTTGGGACCCTCTGAATAACCCAGGATAATATCCCTTTCTCAAGATCCTTAATCACATCTGCAAAGTCCTTTTTGCCATGTAAGGTAACATATTCACAGTTTTCAGAGAATAAAATATGGACATTTTTGAGGTGTTGTTATTTGCCCACCACAAAGTCTAAGTTAAAACATCAGAAGCAGTTTTGATTTGACTTTGTCTTAATGCTTATGCATCAGTTTACCTTTGGGTTAAATAATATGAGATTAATTCATTAACTAGAAAATGAAAGTAACATTTTTAATGAAGAGTTTGTATGCTAGTCTATTATTTTCTGTTGAAAGTTATTTAAGTTAAATTTTAAAATTTTCATCACAAAAGTCCATTAGTCGGTAGTAGTAACAATAAGCTGATAGCTTTCTACCAATAGCAATATTTTGATGAGCCTATTTTCATTGAAGCTATCTTTTATATTATAAAAATCACTCTTGGCAGCACCTTATGCTATTATTCGCCTCACTGTTGTTTTTAAAATAAAATGTTCTATTAAAGTGATTTCAAAGCTCAAGAATAATTTTTCCTCTGTATACATTTAAAATAATGTACATCTTAACCTATTAATGTAAAGAAATATTTGAATTTCTCAAACTATTCACTTTATAGTTTTTATTCCCTCTATTTTTTCTTTCTATACAAAATTGAAGGGATAATGGGCAAAATTGCTGTGAAGATTAAATTAGATAATATATGTAAAACAGTAGCACAATTGATGACTCATAATAAGTAGGTCTTCAATAAGTTTTTAGCCTAATCCAAAATATATCCCATGAGATTTGTCTACTAATATTCAAATGAATAATATGATAGATGGTGTTTCTTACTAAACATATCAAATTTTAAATATTTGGTTGCTTTATACAATAGAATAAATTTTTAACATGATAAATGGAATTAAATGGTGATTTATATTATAACTAGAGGCCCGGTGCACAAAATTTTTGCACGGGTAGGGTCCCTAGGCCTGGCCGGCGATCAGGGCCAATTGGGGCCTTCTGGCTACCGGCTGGGGCCTTCCTTCTGGCTGCCAGCCGGGGCCTTCCTTCATTCCGCACCATCCCCTGGTGGTCAGTACATGTCATAATGAGCAAGCAAACTCTCAGTTGAACTCCTGAGGGGACAATTTGCATATTAGGTATATATATATATGTGTGTGTATATATATATATATATAA